ACATCACAGCTTATTAACTTAATTGAGGATGTATTTACCCCAGTTTAAACACTGCACTGAGTTTGTTTATAGTAAAAATAAAACAAGTTTATTAACAATAGGACATAGGTTAAGTGATGCCAAGTAAAAGGAATAATGTTAGAAAGGGTTACAAGCAAATAAAAGTGAAAATGCATCTAAAAGTCTAAAATTTAATCTAGCAAGATACAGGCTTTGTTCAAGATGGTTTCTCACCTATATTCAGGTCCCAGACTTCAAACCTCCCTTGGTTGAAGGACCCACCTTTCTCAGCTCACAAGAGCTCTTTTCCCTTATGTCTGTCTAGTGATGGATGCCAAAAGACGGCTTCTGTCCATGCTTATATCTTCCAAAGTTCAGTGACTATTTCAAGAGGCAGGATGACCTCCTGCTGTTCTTCCCTTCCTGTGGGCTTCCCATCCCCCGGTATGTAAATGGCGCTTCCATTGTTCTGAGTCCACCATGCTTATTTTGCATAGGAGACAGGTATATAGCTGCCTTTGCTGCTCCTGTCTGGGAGAGAACCTGTTTCTCCCTGTTCGGCCACCGGCAGTAAAACACAATATCATTAATTATCCATATTTCCTCATACAGTGTGAATACATACACTTCAGAATTATATTAATCACCAGTCATTAGCTTTCAGAAAAGACCTCACTCTACACGCTTTTATAATACAGTAATATGGCATATAATCATTTGATTCAATTGCCTAGCACATGAGGTTTAGCCCCCGTCTTTATAGTCCAGTAAACCTTTGCAATATATTCTTCTGAAGTTTACCCCTCAAAGTAAAGCTTATTCAAGCTGTGAGGAAGAGGACATGGAATCTGGTAGTGAAGGAAGCTCTATGCTCTTCCTTCCCCTACTTGTGGTTGCTGAAATGAAAACTGTTCTGTTTCTTGGCATCTCCTCCCCCTGCTGTCTTGATGGTCCTGTTTACTGCTTATATGTAAATTGAGGTAAACATACATCCTTTGTTTATGATAAACATGTCTAACAACTCCCCCAACATACTTGGTTTACATACACTTCAGTCATAATTCCAGCATACATTCGTAACTCTGACTACCCACCATGTACGTACATCACAGAAGGATATTAATGAACAGTGAATTATGAGTTTTCAAATGATACTTCACAAGGCATATTCTGTAAACAGATTATTACAATAGTGTATACGATGTGAATACAGGGGTGCTTAGTGTCACAGAATTATACTGGATTCTGTTGTTAACTGATTGCAGTTGGTTTGATGCTAGGTGCTTCTGTATTTGTAGTCCCCCTATGACAACATGTGTCTTGAAAAGATTTTCTCTCTTTTCCTCCTACTGTTTTAACCCCCACATGAATCACAGACACATTCCTTTTGCTGAGTCTCCCTCCTGAGCCTGTCAAGTAGCTGCTTAATTGTCCAGTGATACGATGCATTCCCTACTTTTGCCCACCCCAACAGCATTGCCTCCAGAGCATATCCGATGGCAGACAGTCCCGGAAGCAGGAGCCTTGGACTGGAAATCAAACTCATAACTCATGCATAGCTGGTCAGAGCTCACGAATGAGGTCGCTCTAATTTATGTTGCAGTTGACATCAACAAGTCGGAGAACTATTTGCAGTAAGGCAAACTCTTTTCAACGAAACTGCAAACAAAGGCTTTCCTCCATGTGCATATAGAAAGCATTTACAAATACATATATATATATATATTAATTACTTTCTTAAATATCAAAAATATTAATATAATTCTCTTCACCAAACATCATTATTTTTGGGACCCAAGCATTAGGGTACCTGAGAGTTAGGCCAAGATTTTCAATAATGGGTGCCAAAAGTAAGGCTCCAAGTATACAGACATCAAATATGTGGCCTGATTTGTGGGGAAAAAATCTCTCTTCAATCTGCTTACACTCCAACATTGTGCTCACGATGATTAGACACTTACAAAACCACAAGACATCGAGCTATTGCAGCATTCAGATCATGCCCAACCCCAACTTTTTTGCTGTCTCATTAGTACTTTTTTCCCTATAACACCACCACAGAGACCTAAATCAGATTAATTCTGAAGTATATAGGAGCCTTCAGGCTTACATTTTATTAGGGAGAAATTCATGCATCCATGAAGTGCTAACCCAGGGGTGGCAACCGATGGCACTCGTGCCGAAGGCGGCACGCGAGCTGATTTTCAGTGGCACTCACACTGCCTGGGTCCTGGCCAGTGGTCCGGGGGGGCGCTGCATTTTAATTTAATTTTAAATTAAGCTTCTTAAACATTTTAAAAACCTTATTTACTTTACATATAACAACAATAGTTTAGTTATATATTTTAGACTTATAGAAAGAGGCCTTCTAAAAACATTACTGGCACGCGAAACCTTAAATTGGAGTGAAAAAATGAAGACTCGGCACACCAGTTCTGAAAGGTTGCCGACCCCTGTGCTAACCTTTCTTCTGAAGGATGAATACAACATATAGTATGGAAGTGAATGTCACTGCTCTGAGATTGTGGGAATGGAGCAGCCTACACTTTCCCATCTGGACACGATAAAAAAAAGATTTCCATAAAATTTTGATGCAAGTTGGGAAAGGCCCACTAGATTATCCCATTTTCCTTCCAGTGCAGGGTTTTGGTGTGGTCAGGATTTTTCTTTCAAAATTTAATTAGTACAAATCATCCCTATTTTGCTCAGCACACTGTTCCAAAAGGTCACTTCTGGTGAGAGTTATGTCCCTACAGTTAAAGCATTATGCTTGGATAGTAAGACACATGACTAATGTAGGAGTTTTACTGTTCATAACTCCATTTCAGGGGTACCCACCCAGCATTTCTTAAACTTCCAGAGCACAGTTGACAGTTCTGGTTGAGCGCTGTTTGGTGCAGGGAATGTGTGCGCGTATGGGAGGAGGGGGATCTCTTTCTCTCCATCCCTCACCACCATCAATGGATTCCTTGATCCACAGCCAACCCCATCCAGCTGATCCTCTGCTCCCCTCATTGACCCTCCCTCCCAGGTTCCCCCAGCAAATTCATCTTCTACCTTCCTCCCCAACAGCAAACAGATCCCCTTCTCCACTCTCTAAAAATTCATCCTCACTCCATCCCCAAAATTAATGCTGCACCACCACTAGCAAATTGATCCTGTATCCCTGGCTCTCCTCAAGACAGAGAAGGAGAGGCAGTTTTCATTAGTTTCCTTCTGCCTCCCCTAAATTGGCCGCCATTGCTCTGTAAGTTGGAGAAAGATCTTGTGCTGGGCATTCTCCTCCCTCGTCGGGTACAGACAGAGTCAATGGAGCAACTTTCCTTGAGCACTGCCCAGCAAGAAAGCAGGTAGGTAGTAACTAGAGCAGAGCAGCCAGACCCTCCCTTCCCTCCTTGCTCCGAATCCAGGTAATGGCAGGCAACCAGTAGAGTCACATATTGAGCAGCTGCAGCAGTGGAGAGAAAGAGCAGCTTTTCAGCATGATCAATCACTCACACAGAACCAACTGCAGGGGAGGAGAAAGTGGCAACCCATATTGCCTCCCTGTGCAATGGGCCTGCCACTTTAGATGGGGAAACTGAGGCACGGAGCAGTTAAGTGGCTTACTCAGTCAAACAGCAAGTCAGCAGCAGGAATAACATTTCAGGATCTGACTCCTGGTCCCTTGCTCTAGCTGCTGGATTCCAATCTTTTTCATCACTGGAAATAAGTATAAACTAATATATGTTCTCTCAGTGATGTTTCAGAACTGTACTAAGCAAAATGGAGGCAGTTTTCCTTCTCTTAAAGATGCCTGACCTAAGAGTTTGGTATTCATTTGTAACAGTCACAGCCTAGTCATGCCAAAATTGTTATGATTCCTACAGGTCTCCTTGGTAAAGTAGCTCCAAAACAAAATAGCTATTTACAGTATGGTGACTGCCTTTTCCTATAAAGTTATTGTATTTTAGAAACCGATGACCCAAAATTCAACCTTTACTAAAACTTACTGTTATTTCTGTCCCATCATACAACATATGCATGTACACACACACACACACACACACACCCAATACTAAAACCCCACAAAGCCCTATCAGCTCTTCAAACTGAGGGGTGAATCTGTTAAATATCATCTTATAGTCTGGGTGAACCACTTTAGGTAGGGCCCAATTATAGGGTGACCATATTTTCCAAAAAGGAAATAGGGACACCCCTGGGCCAGCCTGAGCCACACACCCCCCCTGCGCCGGGCTGCCCAAGGCCCCCCCGCCCCCCCCCCCCCCCCCCCCCCCCAGTCTGAGCCCCTCTGCTGCACCCCCACAATCCTACCACTGCCCGCCCACCCACAGGTCTGGTGGTCCAAGCCTCCCCTGCTGCACACACACCTATAGGGTTGGTGGTCTAAGCCCCCCCTCGCCTCCCTGCACACTGGGTAGGGTGGGCCGGCCAGTCCTCCTTAGTCCTCCCTCCAGCGCAGGGCTGGCATTGCCACTCCGCCCTCTCCCCCCTCCCTCCCCGTACGCCACTAGGGGTCCTATGTGCAGGGGGGTCAGCAGTGAGGTGAAATGCTGCTTGCAGCCTGCTCCCCCTGCTAGGGGGCCAGTAGATCCCCTCTACTCTGTGGATTAGGGATCTTCCTGCAGGGCTGAGCAGGGACCCCCATCCCCGCAGGCTGCCCCAAGTGCAGGGCAGAGAGCACAGTAGGTGCACGGAGGACAGGGAGCATGCCCTTCCCCGGCTACTCACCCGTTCAAGGCGGGAGCTGATGGCAGTGCAGCGGGGTTGCTTCCCAGGAGGCACGGGGCGCGGCAGGAGCCCAGGCTGCTGCTTTTTGGGCATGCTCTCACTGCCCATCCCCGGCACTGCTGCTGGAGGAGGCAGGCAGGGAGACTCTGGTGCAGGCACGCGCTGGGGAAAGTAAAGGGGGGGGGGTACAGCCGCTTGCTGCCTCCCACTGCCGACTCTGTGCTGGGATCCCAGAAAATACGGGACAATTTGCCCGTATTTAACAAAAAGTCAGGACACCTGGAAGGCGGCTTAAATACAGGATTGTCCAGTTAAAAACGGGACGTCGGGTCATCCTACCCATTTAAGACAGCAACCTCAAACTATCCATGGTTTTGCATATTCAGGTTCTGTTCTTGATGGCCGGGAGCTCTATACACACAGCTTCATTTCTACTGAAGATTAGCATTTGTTTTTCTTGGTATTTAGAGAACAACTCAATGTCACACCAAATACAAGTTTAGTATATCCCCTAACCTTAAATTACACACTCCTTGGGTAAAAGATAGGAATAAAGTTGCTACAATCAGTGGCCTTGTCTACCCTAACACTTTTCCCACTGTTGATCTAGCACCAGTGCAGCTCAACTATCTGAAACTAGAGCTGGACCACATGATGGTAAAGACACCTGTGTTCTGTCTACACTAGCATTCTCACCAGCAGAGCTGCTAAGCCAATAGTGAGAAAAGTACTTACATTTTTCAGTGCTGATGAAGCCAAAGGGACACTCACACAGATAGGTTTGCAGGACCAGACGCTAAATGAAGAAGGATTTTCCATGACTAAGAAGATGGAAAGAATTCTATCAATTTAATCTATCACACGCACACATTTTTCATATAGAAGAGTGGTTGCAAATTGAGAAATGTTTTGTTTCATCACAAGGCCACTGTCTTACATCTGGACATCCTGAATTTGCAGTTATTTAAAGAGGAGCGATTCATGGTCTGGTATCCCATATTTTTCTTTGTGGTCTTCAAATAATTTATTTAGTTCTCGCAGGTATGTTTGATGCAGCTGCTCAATCTCTTCAAGAGTAGGATTCAAATTCTGTTTTACAGTGATAGGTTTCCCCACTGCAAACAACAAACAAAATAGCAATGACATTAGCTACACTGACATCTATTTGCTGCAGATAAAAGTACCCTTCCGTATTGGCTAGATGCTGAGTTTTGTTGTTTTACAGATGGTGGATGAAATCCTGGCTCTACTGAAGTCACCAGCAAAACTCTCTTTGACTTCAATGGGGCCAGAATTTCACTTAGTATTAAATCAGTAAGCAGGAAGTCTTGATTTAAATTGATCTTAATCTTGTTTTGCATTTGTACTTTTTAGTTAATTTTCCCAAGAAAAGTTGATTTTCAATGGTTGGGAACCATTGAAACATGCTAACTTGCAAATAAATATAGCCTTTGCACTAAATTTAGTGCTTCTTTTTGCTAACCAGGAAGATACACATTTATTTATATGGCTTAACTTACAATTGTTCAGATTCTTAACTTTTGATTTTTTATTGTTAGAAAATGGTGAATGATTCATTTCTCATTTACTACATGGATCATTTTTTACTTAGATTTGAGTTAAGCTCTATTTGGATGGAAATTCAAATTCAATTAAAAAGGCACAAAACCATAATTTTAAAGTTGTTTTTATTAATTGAATAAAACTCATCAAATGTGCTGGACACAAGAAAAAAGTTTATCTAAACATACTTTGCATTTAAAACTAATTAAGCAAAGGAAGTATTATCTGTAGTTAGTAAATTTAACTGATTGTTTTGGGTCACTATATCCTTCAGGATTTTAGAACTAATAGATTTCATCGTCTCACACCTAGTTTTTATTCATACATTGGAAGAGAAAAACAAGTTTCCTGTTTTTTCAACTCTCAATTGTTTTTTTTAACTTTGAATGAACTAACTAGTCATTGCACTAAACAAGATTATAGTCTTCATTTCAGGTTATTCTCTCTCTCTCTCTCTCTCTCTCACATCAGCAGAAGAGGATATTTATTGCTGCCTAAGATAGTTTAGCACTTCAACAAACTCTGGTTCCAGGTGTTTAGCCAGTGACTTCCACCAGCGCAGTTTTCTTTAAAACCTGGCAGCAACCATACTGCTTCCCCCCCCCCTTCATTTAAATGAATAGATTAGTCATAACTACAGTCAAAACTACATGTTAAAAATAAACCTATTTAAAATTAAGGACATAAACCTCTGTTTCATTTAAATAAAAAGGTTCAGTTTTTTTAATGAATCAATTTCCCCCCCCCACCCCACACTATATGGGCAGACAGAACAGGACACCGGGAAATACAGACTGACTTGTACAATGGAATTCAGTCTTTGTTCCAACACCCTAGAAAATGGCTTTACCTGATAAATATCTAGGTTTCCAACCATTGCCTTTGGGTAGCTTGCAACATGACCATGATTTAAGGGTGGGATTTTTCAAAAGCATTCAGCATTGGCTTAACTCCATTGAAGTTCATAGCAGTTCAACACGGTCTTTGACGAGAGAAGAATTGGGCCAATTTTGAAAAAAATCCCCCAAATTTGATCTGTCAGCACCTTATATATGTTTCAATTAAACATTAAATGATCTGTCCATTAAAAAAAACTTTTTAAAAGAAAAAGATTGATTCTATGGAACTAGAAATCCTGCATGCCACATGCATCCTGCAAATGTGGAAGAACCTGAAGGGTGCAGAACAGAGATTACAGGGGCTGGAGGAGGCACGTACCCTGCCCTGGGGCTGTGTTGTGTGCTGGTTTCTGTGTCTTACTGTGGATGGGATGGGGGCCTGTGGATCTAGCTGCCAAACTTGTCCAGGGAGAGGGATGAGGGGCTAAATATCTTCTGATGAAACTACATGGCTATGGAGATGCTCCACTGCTCTTCAAGGGATTGGAACATTTCCCTGACTTCCATAGGAATTCCTGAGCACTCAGCCATCTCAGGTGGGCTGCGCTGAGGAAAGGATTTGGGCAGGGATTAAAGTGAAGGGGAGCGCAAACAGGAGAGGGAAGCCCCCCATCCCCCATTTTGGCTTGTGTAAACAGTGCTCCCCTTCACCCCACCCCACCCCGTGGCTGATGCGGTCAAAGTTCCCCCTCCTGTTTCAATCTACTGTAATCACATATTGTGGCCCAGTTGGCGTAACTTATTTATAAAGCCTTTTGCCTTTAGCTCCTCCCCCGGCCAACAGAACAGAAGAGAACAGGATAAAGACATTAGGAAAGACACATTTATTTCAAACCTCATGTGCTTGCGTTTAGATGCACAGCAGCCAGTTCTGTCTGGCAGAGCAGATTTGTAAAGGAACACTGTTACTGAATTCAACCACAAATCACACATTTTAAACATTCCCATAGGAATGACAGAAACCACTAAGGGACTTACCAACAGTGTGAATAGGTTTCCTATAAGGCATCAAGCCAAAACTGTACTGAAATATTCCTCTAGCATGAAACAGTGGTAAAGTAAACCCCACTATCTTCCTCAGGCTCTCCTGTAAAGTTCTGAGCCACGATCCTTTGGGGTTTGCAACTTGCTTAAACAGTTCATTTTCGCCAAAAGAGAATACTGGAACCAAGTGAGCCCTGCAAAGTAAACAGAATTGAAACACAGGGCACTCAATGAAGCATGACTTGCAACTCACATCTACAGCATGATGAGTCACATTAATCAATGCAGGTAATTTCCTCAATGCTTATAAAATTCATCAGTATTTGCATTATGCATTCAACTCTTCCCTGAAATGCAGCTGAAATGCTTCTTTGTGCAGCTGGAAGGGGGCACAATATTTAGTAAAAACAAAAAACATAACCATCTACTGCCTTCTGCGCAGTGTTCAAACAGTAGCAAACCTAAGTGAAGGTTTCCAGTAAAGACAGAGGAATCCCCTTTTTCTGATTTTATGGTAACTGCTAAAATCTTATTCATGACAAACAGCTGTTGGGTCTAGGCCATCACAGTTTCACTGAGTTTGCTGTAGTTCCATAGTACCTTCTATCTTATAGGTGACATTCAATGGGAGTTGGGTGTCTAACTCCATGTAGTGCCTGTGAAAATCCCAGTATTGAACTTTTAACATTAGCGGCTGAATCCTGTTTGCAGGAGTTGCTCTAGTAGTCTATTTCAGTTTAGAACTCAGCCTCTCCACATCATAAGGAGTTCTTGTTCTTCTCCTCAGTGGGGATCTGTGGCTTGAAAGGGGTTATATAGCACCTGTAAAACCTCTCCAAATTCCACCCCATTCTAAGCATCGGAACTGCAATGGTTGTGCTGTTGTCAGAGTGAAAGGGGAAACCTTTATTAAAAGCCCTGGCTACTACAGCTGAGGTATCAGTCTGGTAAACTTATGTGGCTGTTAGAAAGCATGGGGAACCAATACAATACTACTGTAGAAAATTTAAATCAAGTGTTTTCTTAAGTGTTCTCTCCAGAAGTTTAACAGCTCCCAGTTTTCTTGCACTAAAATCCTAGGCAATCGCTACATTTCCTAAGCATTTTCATCTTATACCATGTTTGACAATCTCTCTCTATGGTGCATGGCTGTTAAAATGGTAGTATTGCAGCAAGATTACTCAAGGTGAAGAGTACTTGGAATGCATCAGCTGGATATGCTAATAAGAGTAATGAAAATTAATCCTCCTGAAGCAAGGATGCAGCTGTCTGGTATGTACAATGGATAGTCATGAATTGCTTGCATGAAACTAAGATAACTATTTATGTGGCTTCTTAGATTCTGGGATTCATAAGAAATACCATTCCCTACCCCACTTCCCCTTGCCCCTCGAATGGTGTCTGCCTGGCCTAAAATTGTGAGGCAGGTTTCTCAACAATAACAGTTCTGCATCATACAGCTGCCCCTGAAAGAAACATCTGAAGACTCTGTAAACAGAGTGGATTTATAGACTGCCAAGTTTTTGTTAGACCATTAATGATGATGAACAGGAAAACCTTGTGGTGCAATGGCATTTCTCTACATGCCCAGTGAATATACTAGCTTTCGTTTTCATCTGAAAGACTTCCTATAGGGGGTTGATACTTTATTTCAGTGTAACATGGAGTTTTGGTTGTGAAACTCAGGAGAAACTAGTTTATTCTCTACTTGTGCTGTGTCACTATGATTTTTCTATTTTGTATTCAATGTTTGTATGATCTTGAATCAACTGTCCTTCCCAGTAGACCCATTGGAGGGAATGGAACTATTGAAGTGCTTAAGGGACTTGATCCATCTCCCACTGAAATAAATGGAAAGACTCCCTTTGACCTCCATAGCAGTTGGACAAGGGGAGCAGGATTTGGCTCCTTATCTATAGTCCTGTGTGTCAGTTAAATAGTGGCACATTTTGTGAGCTGCTTTGGCCAACTCACCATTGTGAATGAGAACACAGAGCCACACTGTATCACACAGAGCTGCTGTTGGTTTAAATGGGAGCTTCAGATAGGAGTAGGACAGGGGTTCTCAAACTTTATTGCACCATGACCCCTTTCTGACAACAAAAATTACTACATGACCCCAGGAGAGGGGACCGAAGCCTGAGCCTGCCCAAGCCCTGCCACCCTCGGGTGATGGGGGGTGGGGCAAAGCCCAAGCCCCACTACCGCAGGCAGGGGGGACCAAAGCCCAAGGGCTTCAGCCCCAGGCAGGGGCCCATAACCTGAGTCTCGACACCCAGGGCCGAAGCCTGGGGCTCGGGCTTCAGTTTCAGCGCTGGGCCCCAGCAAATCTAAGCCAGCCCTGGCAACCCCATGACCCACTTTGGGATCCCGATCCACAGTTTGAAAACCACTGGAGTAGGAGGATAGACCTTGGACTCTATTTTTGATGATTTCTTCTGGTTAAACAAGTTATTAATATTACTACTATACAGACTTATGAAGGAGGCCTGAAATGCATCTGTATGCTTGGCTTTTACCTCCCCCACTTTGTGGGTCATCTTTAAGGGAAAAAGATGCCCTTTTTTCCCGGGATTATGGCTCTGTTTCTCCAAAGCACTTCAGCGAGTGCTTAAATCCATCCCTATTCATCAACACACTTAAGCACACAGTTCTGCACTTTGCTGAATCCGGGCCTAAGGGTTACCACGTCTCTTCCCCTAAAAATCATGAGGAAATCAAGTCAAAGAGAAAAAATACTCTTTGAAATCAGTAGTGTTCAGAAGTACAGGAACGGTAGGATCAGCAGAACTGCTATGGGACAGCCAGTAAATAGAGTGTCTGAATGATTCAGCAACACAACCTGAGGAACTGGAAAATATTACTACATAGAATTTCACAGTTTGTTTGCTGCTGTGGTTTAAAACAAGTCAGTCAAATCATCAGGATGTGCCAATACCTCTACCTACCATTAGATTATTTCTGCAAATAATAAGAAAAGGGATTTCACAATTGCCCCTGTATTATTTCTTATTCTGTTTTAATCAAGATACATCAGTTCTGGCTCTTATTTTAGACATCTGCATCCCATGTCAATGCAGAAATAACCTTCTCAGATTCACAGTTTCTATGCTGTATGAACACTGCAAGAAGTTCAGTCGCAGTCACAGCCAACAGTGCTAATGGGACACCTACCCATATTTCAAAGCCATTTTAATAAAACCTCTCCTCTTGAGGATACTCAGAGTTAAACTTCCAGGATGGGCATCCAAAGACTCTTCTGCTCCTCCAATCACAATCACTGCAACGTTTCCACCTCTATCATTGTTCAGCACATGAGACACACTCTTCTTGGAGGCTGACACCACTCCTTAAGGATCAAACGTTTGTAACAGGGGATCAGTAAATCATTTGTATAATACCAAGAGAAGCTAGAAATAGTTTTAAAATATTTTGAATGGCTAAGGCCCAGGATGGAGTCAAGAGACACGGGATTTGATCCTGGTTCTGTAACAGATTTGTATTTGACAAAGTCCTCTGTGCCTCTTTCCCCTTTGCGCTAAATTCTATTTTCCTGCCATGCTGGAACATTGTGAGATCTTCAGAGGGGAGGGGTCCACACAATGTCAATACAAATTCTTAATAATCAGGCATTTCTCATCTCAATGATTCTAATAATATATTTCCTTCTCAGAAATGCGAGACTACAGAATCATGTGGAGAGCTTTACAATGGAGAGAGTCGACAGGCTGAAGCTAAAGCCATGGCAGGTGGAGGGTTTAATTGGGAAGCAGGCACATATAAACAATAAAAGGGAGTTTGGGAATGTTTGGGAGTTTGAGCAGGGGGGATATAGGATGTTGCAATCTAAACTAGGACCCATAGTGCCAGAACTGAAGTCAATGGAATGACAGTGTAATAAGGAGCAGAATCAGATCACTTAAACTACTTCATTAGCTCTTCCTTGAGGCACCCTGGCCATGCCACCTCCAAGCCTGTGCTGCCCATCCCATTACTTGGGCTGCACTAACTCTCTATATAACCCCTCCCGGGCAAAGAGGAGGCCTTGCCTTCTTCTCTGCTGACACAACCAACCCCTCTTCCCTGGCTGACTTTCTGTTGCATGGGCCCTTCACATCAGCTGAAGCCGTGACAGACTTGGACTGAATCTGACCCTTTGAAGCATGAGAATTATAGACATTAAAAAGGAAAACATACCTTTGCCTAACCCATCTCCTGCAGGATTCTTCCCCACAGCTTTGTGCAATCACGCTATCTTAGAGTAATATTTTTTAAAGAACAGTCTAGGGATCAAATCCAGCTTGTGCTTCTTTAAAGCTGGCATTGAATGCCTTTTCTTTTGGATTCAAATAAACAAATGGCCCAGATTTGAGCTGCTGTTTCCCATCTTTTCTGCTATTAGGGAAGTTTTAATGTGAGAAAAGTAATGCAGTTTTGTTGCTACTCTTGGAGCTACATACTAAGAGAAATATCTTGCTAACAGACACCGAATTGAGTTTAACTAATGTTCTAGAGAGACTTGCAGATATGACCAGGAATAAGTTAACTAAACAAATGTGCTTCAAACGCTGATAGGAGAGCTCAATGTACAGAGTACACAGCAGTCATTACATTGTTTGAAATGGGGGAAATTCTATGGCCTGTATTATACAGGGGATCAGACGAGATGATCATAATGGTCCCCTGTGGCTCTAAGACCTGTGTGTCTATAAAATCACTCAGACTAGTCTACAACACTGGCAGTTTTGGGGCATGTCAAAATTACTTCTCATCAAGAAAGTAAAAGGATTGTTCCTAGGGGTCAGAATGGCAAAGCCATGTGGAAACACTTCTGTACTGAGCTATATTTAGATTGTGGATAACATTCTGTCAGGTCAGATATGCTCAGTTTCCATTACCACCAATTCCTGACCTGTGCAAGTGTAACAAAAATCCCCTGAAAAGTTATATCTTGGTGGAAGGCGATTCCTTTGTGACGTTATATGATTATAATTGGAAGTACTTTCATATTACGTGGTACTACATATTAGGCGTTTCTCTTCTCACATAAAATAAATTAGTTCATTTCATCTGCAGATCTCAGCAAAAAAGCATACAAACAGTCTCATTTTAGCAATGGGTGAATGGAAGCATAGCAAGGTTGAACCACCAGCCTTAAGTCACACACAGTGAGTTAACATCAGAGCCAGGAATAGAACCTAAGTCTCCTGGCTACTAGCACAGCACAGCACCCTGCCCACTAGGCCATTTTGCCTTCCTGCTATAACTTCATGAACTTAAATAAAATAACTCCTGATATACACCATGGCGAGAGGAGAAGCAGGCTCATGCTTCCTTCCATTCCTCCCGCTTTTACTATTATTTACTATTTGTATTGTGGTAACAGCTAGGAGCTCTAGTTATGGACCAAGATCCCATTGTGCTAGGTGCTGTGCAGACATGGAACAAAAGATAGTTCCTTCCCCCAAAGAGCTTGGGGTTTATGGTGTAATTACACATAAAACAAAACTGGGAGTGAAGCCCTTCAGACCCAGGTAAGTAATCAAGTCCTTCACTGGAATGATGTTTGTACAGAGCAGGACTATAACGTTCTTGGGACAGGAACCGTCTCCAACCTTGTTCTTCAATAGCACAGAACATAGTATCATTGCTTAATAAACAATACTGTACTTAACTCCACCTGCCCTATTCTTCCCATGTAACCGGAACTAAGGACTAGAGTAAAACAGCTCATGGGTAGGCATGGGAAAATAATAGAGAAATCTCAGTAATTGTCAGAGAGGAAGGATGGTCCAATAGTTAGCACCTAACCTAGCACTTGGGCTGAAGTACCTGCTCCATCAGAGACATCCTGTCTGACCTCAGGCAAGTCACTTTAGCCCCTCTCGTGCCTCAGTTCCCCATCTGTAAAATGGGGATAACAACACTGCCCTACCTCACAGGAGGACTTTGAGGAGAATATTAGAGCTGACTGGAAAAATTCTGATGAAAAGTTTTTTTTGTCAGAATTTGTCAATTCATCGAGATCAAAACATTCTGTGGAGACAGTTTGATTTTGATGAAGTTCCTCTGGAAACCAGGCAGAGTTCTGACAGAAATCTGTCTGTATTCTGCCAACTCACCTCCTCAGTAGTCAATGTGGCAGGCTGCTGGGAAACCCACATTTCCAGAGTCCATGGCCCTGGGGCAGCCTGCCCTGGAGCTCCATCCCTTATTGAGGAAAGTTTTGAAATTTTTGGTTTCCAGTCTGAATTGGAACAAACCCAAATTTAGAAATAGCAAAATTCTGCGTGAGGCAGGTTCTTTTTCCCTAATAAATACAGCTCTGATAAATACATCAAAAGTTGTGAGATACTCAGATATTGTAGTAATAAGGAGGCCATACAAGTACCTAACATAGAGAGTTCCTCCTTCAACTCAAAAATTGATCCCACCATAAATAAAAGCTTTACACTCCCATCCTGCAATCCGATCCTTGTGGATGGACTCCTGTGCCCAGGCAGAGATCCATTGATTTCAATGGGCAAAAAGGTCTGCCTGCATAGAACAGATTACAAGAATGTGGCCTTGTAACAGGCTGGCTGACTCTTTAAGGGGAATCAGGCCCAGCCTCGCTTGTAACAGATCACCTCCCCTCCCAGCTGATCCTGATCATCCAAGGATCAAATAGCCTGTTCAGTTAGATCTAGCTGGGGAAGAGGGCCAAGGGATGCCTTTATAGAGTGAGAGAGCTCAGATAATAGGGGAAGCTGCAGAAGGGTTTCTGGCTCCTCTGGTAGACCCTGAGGAAGAGTATCTCCCAGGTAGATGGCCTGGAGGAGGGAGACAGGCTGCTACAGTAGGCCCTGAAGCAGGAAGGACAGAGAGGCAAAGGGGAAAAGCCCTTGGGACCTGTAGCCCAGAGTGGGCTGAGGAACAGCTCTTGTGTTTGATGACTGCCTAAATCATACGTCTGGAGAATAAAACTGGGTCTGGAAAAAGACTCTAGGTGTGGCAGTGAGTTCTTCCTGTGCAGGTGAGACAGGCCTAACTTATCAATATGTGCGGGAGGTGCCCAACCCTGCTACACACCTTATTAATGCATGCAGTCATATTGACCACAATGGGGATTACTTTGCATGAGCAAAGATGACTCAATTTAGTAAGGGTCTGGATGGGCCAATTGAACCTTGTGTAAGACAGTGCAACTCATTAAAGTAAATGGACTTGCACCCACTTGCAACTGATCTGAATTTGCAGCTGTAGGCAACCGGTTAATTCTTTTATTGTCAATGTCCTGCTCCTACATAATGTGAAATATTATGGTATTCATATATTATGATTTTATTTTTGAATACCAGCATCTACTGCCATTATATTTTGAATGACATTTTGCATCTAAGTTTGTCTTTTTACTTACAGCCAATGCAAAAATACTAAAAAATAGCTTAGTGGTTTGAGCATTGGCCAGCTAAACCCAGGGTTGTAAATTCAATCCTTGAGGGGGCCATTTAGGGATCTGGGGATTTGTCCTGCTTTGAGTGGGGGTTGGACTAGATGACCTCCTGAGGTCCCTTCCAACCCTGATATTCTATGATAATATGAAAAGAAATATTAATATTATCCATCATGACCGGTGCCTACACAACCTGTAATGACTTCTCGGCTTTCACTAAAATTATATTTTAAAAAATTAAAGATGCATTGCTCAACCAAAAAGTCTTCTAGCTTAGCTCCCTCATATAGTATAGTCACTCTTTCACCAAACAACCTCACTGCATGATAGACTTGCTGTGGGCCTGATTCTGCTCCCTTGACAAAGCTCTCATTGACTTCACTGGTACAGAATTGGGCTGCATAACTGGAATTACAATTTCCACGTTATTATGTATTAAAATAATTCAGGAATGTCATTACAAGTCACTTTCAATGATGATTCACTATATCAGAGTTCATTAAAAGTACAACAAAGCCTTCTGAATTGCTTTTGAAACAATCATTCACTGTAAACAGATTTTCTACAGGGCCAGTCCTGGTCCTATTGAAGTTAGATGGCAGAACTTTTCATAGACTTCAGTAGATACAGGATGAGGCCCTATATCTGAGCCCACTTTATACGACTCATTTTAAACAAATGCCATATCTGAAGCAGTGGCTCAGAGATCTTGGCTCCACCTACCAGTACTCAAAGCATAATCTCTGAAGAAAGGGCATCCGAACCAGAAGGGCAAGATGTGAAGATATGGAGTAAGACCAGGGAATAATTCTTTAAAACCTGTATATTCTGTGCAAAAGTTTCCAAAGGCTCCAGCAACAAGAATACCATGAGGGTGAAATCCAAACAGATAGTTTTGGCTTGGATCCAAATCTGACGTTTTTATGAGCTGAAAAATAATATAAATGGAGTCTGAGTATAACACCATTTTCATCACAGTGGTTCATAAACACAGGAAGAATTTTAAAAGTAGGGAGGCTGCACGTAATAATGTGTAGATCACTGATACTTTATTTTCCTATTATGAGCATCTTAGGCCTGGTCCACACTAACCCCCCACTACGTTAATAACGTAGCTGAATTCAAAGTACCTTAGTTCGAATTTACTGTGGGTCCAGATGTGGCAGGCAGGCTCCCCCGTCGATGCCGCGTACTCCTCTCGCCGAGCTGGAGTACCGGCGTCGACGGCGAGCACTTCCGGGATCGATCCGGGATCGATTTATTGCGTCTTGTCTAGACGCGATAAATCGATCTCAGAAGATCGATTGCTTACGGCCAGACCAGGAAGTAAGTGTAGACCTGCCCTTAGGTGATCTCAAGCAAAGTAAGTATAAAGAGCTCAGTTCTGTCTCAGATTAAGTAGTTCTGTAATCTCCACAATATCTGATCTTCTATCTTGTGGCTAGAAAGGTTCAGATCAAAAGAACCAGTCCCCAATTATTTTTCCTGTCACTAACTCCAGATTTTCTTCATCTAAGCTTGTTTTACAGAAGAGAGGTCAAATTCACTCCTGGTATAACTCCACTGACTTCAGCAGAGCTATGCCAGGGATGAATGTGGCCCAAAACGTTAATCATAAAAAGCCATCTTGATCTGCATTTTCACAATTCAGTGTGAAACTTTTTACTCACGTGAATTGGAAAGTAATCCGTAAAGTACTTCCAAACAGTCCAGTTTCTGACCCACTTTGATCTTCTCCCTCCAGTTTGGGGGGTCTCCCAATCAAGATAGAGCCACAGTGCATAGAGGACAGGTAGGAACCAGTAGTTTCCCAAAAGCAAGATGATAAAGACTCCCCAGCAACACTGTGCTACAAGAAACAAAAAAAACCACAGTGAAGATTATTCATTACTATCTCACTATAGGAAAGAGTCCTTGGACCCAGTTTTGTTTTCATTTACACCTGTGTAAAACCAGAGGAACTCCATAGAAGTTACACTGTTGGCTATCCAGAGTAACTTCAAACTGAAGTTGGCCTATTGTCTATTATTTGAATTTCTATCAGTGAGCAGAGATGCTGCCTGACAAAGAAGGTATTCACTTGGGTTTATTTTTACCCCAACGTGTGTGTGAGGGATGGATCTTGTAAGGTGCTGAACCACTTCACTTCTATTAGGACTAAACAGGAGCTGGGGAAAAGGTCTGAGTATTCCAGCACTCAGCAGGGAGCCAGCAGCAATTAAGGTCAAAGGAATCTTATTCACTTAAGGGTAGGGGGAAGGAGGGAGCAAGAGTGAGCAATGACTTCATATATTCTGGTTGGTGAGGAGACGGAACAGGGCTGACAGAGGGAGACAGCATGATGAGGAGGGAGCGGATTGAGCACGGGGCTGGGACTCTAGAGACTTGAATTCTATTCCCGTCTCTACCACGGACCTGTGGGGTGACCTTTGCAAAGTGCTTGGAGATTTACTGATGAAAAGAGCTAGGTATTGTTACCGAAAGGGAACCTAATTTAATAAGAGCAGGGCCGGCTCCAGGGTTTTGGTCGCCCCAAGCAGCCAAAACCAAAACCAAAAAAAAAAAAAAAAAAAAAGTCGCGATCGCGTTCTGCGGCGGCAATTCGGCGGGAGGTCCTTCACTCCCAGGCGGAGTGAGGGACCGTCCGCCGAATTGCCGCCGAATACCTGGAACTGCCGCCCCTGTCCGGAACGGCCGCCCCAAGCACCTGCTTGAGAAGCTGGTGCCTGGAGCCGGCCCTGAATAAGAGTCTACGGTCTTGCCACTAGAAGCAAAAAAACAAACCAAACCAACATTTCTATGGAATCACGACAGCTGTCCTAACCCAGCCACTTTCAGAATAACGGACACTCAAATTAATGAGAAAGCAATTGTAATATCCTAATATAATTACTGTAGATAGGAAGCATATTGATACCATTTCCTTAGTTTTCTGAATCATGTGGATTTATAATACGGTATTAGCCAGGATATGTTAGCGTTCGGCCAACTCCTGCAATCTTTACTCAGGAAAAAGTCCCAGTCATGTCTATGGGAATATTTCCTGTGTAGGGCCTGCAGGATTTGTCCCTGTATTAAGAAGCTCTGGGATAACTCTGGCTGTGATGTACAAAGCTGGTTAAAAGGAAATTCTGGGCCACATGCTACCCTCTACTACATGGCACAAAGAGTAGCAAATTGTGGGAGGAATTTAGAGTACCCAACAAGACTTGCACAAAGGGCATTGCTTATAGATATCAGAGGGTAGAAAGAGCTAAACTTGGATTGTAAACTCCTTGGCCATGAACTGTGTCTTTGTATGTGTTTGTATAGTGCCTAGTACAATGAGGCCCCAATCCTGACCGGAGCCTCTAACCATTACTGTGGTGTAAAAGCAAATAAGCATTACCTTGGCTGAACAAGGATATTTTACAAACCAGTTTTTATGTTTCATCTTTCAAGAGTAAAATAGTTTGTGGGAACTACATCAACCTGGTTTGCAGCCTGGCACCTTGAAGGGGAGGATTTCACAGCAGATGGTGAATCACTCTAGAGTAAATGGGAAAAGTAGATAACAGTGAGACACGTTGAGCTAATTCAGGTTACCAATTTCAGTGTCTGGTCGGGAACCCCGCTGTGCACAATGATGACACGCACACTGCGAGCAAATCAAAGCTTTAACAATTTAATAAGCAGAATTAGTAAAGTCACAAATGCTCCAAACAAAATGAAAAGGGTGCAGTAATATAGAATTAAGCTAATGTAAGGAATGATACAAAACATGTACTCACACCTTCTCAAGGAGATCTAGTGGTAAGAGACAAGTGGTCATCCATGAGGTTCCAACCCTGTCCCTTGTACCCCATAGACCTAGCTTAGCATTTCATTTAGCAGAAGTTCAAGAAACCTATGGACCTATATCCTGTAAGGCATTATCTTAAGCAGCAGACTTGTTTGGCATGCCATGGACAGAGAAAGACCCCCCATGGATGACTGTCTCTTACCACCTGATCCCCAAGAAAGGGTGTGAGTATATGTAAGGAATGGTACAAAATATTAGCTGCTTATATTACTGCTACCTTTTTATGTGGTTTGGAGCATTTGCGTCTTTACTAATTGTGCTAATAAAAATTGCTTAAAGTTTGGCTTTGCCTTCAGTGTGAGTATCATCATTGTGCACTTCGGGGTTCCCAACCAGATACTGAACTTAACCTGAATTCTGTTGTGCCTGATTCTGGGACTAGAACCCTCAATACCCATTTCTTTAGACTTGTAATTAACTGGAAACCAGTAATAATCAATAACCACTAAAGAACTGGGCAACACCCTGGCATGCCAAACAAGTCTGACAGCCCAGATCGCCCCCTTACATGGTGGTCTGGCCTATTATAGGGCCTAGTGGTTATCATGACTATTCATACAAATGCCACCCCTTTGTCCATATCTAACTTCCTCACCCTAATAATGTTGGGGTGTCTTTATCCTACAGGTTAGTATGTTAATAACTTTAACTTACATACATCAATTCATCCCCAAGACAAGTTCGTTGCTAAGCATCTGCCAGTATTTCTATCCTAAAAGTATCTCTCAAGGCTGATTCCCCACTCTGGCACTTCGAGTGAAGAAAGTGGGGGCCCGCAAGGATCTAAAAAAATTAATACTGGCCACTCCAGGCTTGTATTAAACTCCCAAGGTTACAGCTTCTCTCGGACCTTAGACGGGTAGATGCTGCCACCACCCAAGTGCAAAAACCCCCTTTGGAGAACCCAGAAAGGCGCACTTGGGAATTCCTTCCTGTGGGGTACCCTCAAGCCCTTTCACACACACCCCCTCTGGGGAAGAGCCGAGAAAGAAAAACAAAGGAAATCAGCTGTTGCCACCAGGGCTTTGGAGCGGTGTTCTGGCTCCGCTCCAGCTCCAGGCAAAAAACCTGCAGCTCCACTGCTCCGGAGCTGCTCCGTGCTCCGCTCCAAAGCCCTGGCTGCCACCAGCAATCAAACCTCTTAGGGACACAAAAATTCAATCCTGTTCTTAAAAAGGGTAAATTTTATTAAAAACAAAAAAAGAAAATACATCTGGAACTTAGGCTTTTTGCTAGGTTTCAAAAAAAAAAAAAAAAATTTTTTACAAGGATTAAGCATCAAGATAGCTTCTTGAGGTCCAGCTTAAAGGTTACAAGCAAAACAAAATCACCTGGGGTTAGCACAGAGGAGTCCACAAGCCATAGAGAAATAAGAGATAAACCTAATCGCATCTTCCTAGACATTTCCTGATCTATTTACTTATCTGGGGTTTCAAATGAGTAGTTTCTAGGTATGATCTGATGATTTTCCATACCTGGCCAAAGCTTTTTATAGCATAGTTTCAGCCCTGTCTCTGCTCTGTCCCCTCCCTCTGGAGAACGACAGACAGACAAAGGGAAAGTTTTTTCCCCCCCCCCAATTTTAAAAAGTTCTAGCCCTCCCATTGGCTCCTTTGGTCAGGGGCCCACTCCCTTCCTTTTACCTATGCAGGGAGACATTTTAACCCTTTACAGGTAAAGCAAGTAGAGAACAACTACTAAAAGGGATTTTATAGCTAACTGGCTGGCTGTCCATAAAAGGGAGCTACCCGCCCCCCACTTCATTTATCACAATATCCAAGCCTAGTATCAGTTCAGTGCTCCTGCAGTTACCTGGTATTGTTTTGTACAAACCCTCCCCCGAAGCACAACGTTCCCTGTTCCCCAAAACTCAGGGTTCCTGTTGGGCCACTTTCTTATACTAAGGCTCAGAGCCTTAAAGCCTTATGCTAACTGCTTAAACTAATGCTTTACATGATATAGATCTCTAGGTTTCTTGTAAAAAGCAACAGAGAGTCCTGTGGCACCTTTAAGACTAACAGATGTATTGAATACCCACGAAAGCTTATGCTCCAATACATCTGTTAGTCTTAAAGGTGCCACAGGACTCTGTTGCTTTTTACAGATCCAGACTAACACAGCTACCCCTCTGATACTAGGTTTCTTGTGTTACTTATAAGTAACATGCCTTTAAGCTAGCTCTATGGCTACAGTAAGAACACTGGAAAACAACACTGAAGACAATGGAAATACTCCCTTTGACGGGATCCCTGGGGTGCAGCCTGGGACTGTTGGACCACTGTGCCCCCTAAACTCCCCAGTCCGGGCTGTCTCTCACAATGCTTTCCTAGCAGGGCCGCCCAGACGGGGGGGGGGCAAGTGGGGCAATTTGCCCCAGGCCCCCCACGAGAATATAGTATTCTATAGTGTTGTAACTTTTTTTTAATGGAAGGGGCCCCCCAAATTGCTTTGCCCAAGGGCCCCCTGAATCCTCTGGGCGGCCCTGTTTCCTAGTGACAAGCAGCAAAGCCCTCCAGGCGCTGTTATCACTCAGCACAACAGTATGTGGAGCCCCGCACCCAGCTAGATTGCATGAATGCTCCCAGAGCCACTCATGAATCACACAGAGAAAAGCACCAGCCGAATCCCCCCAGCTCAAGAATATACCATCTTGCACTGCTCAAGATGGGCAGTGCAAATTTATTAATTGGTTCACCACTTCATCAATGGAAAGTGGATATACATCAGCTTTTGCAAACAGGAGCAGATTTACCACACACTTCAGGCAAACTCACTGGTAAAGATAAACAGTAAAACAAATGTATTGACTCCAAAGATAGATTTTAAGTGATTATAAGTGATAGACAAAAAGTCAGAGTTAGTTACCAAAAGAAAATATAAGCATGCAGTCTAAACTCTCAACGCTATTAGACTAGGCAACACCTAGATTAAGCAGTTTTTCTCACCCCACTGGATATTGCAGTTCTTAATATACAGGTTTATCCCTTAAACCTGGGCCAGTCTCCTCT